TGAAGCTCACGAGCAATAATAAAAAATAAAAAAAACCCTGCTCATGTCCCAATAATGGTATGGACATGATTGACAGCATGAAGTCGGTGTGTGGCTGCTGTCAATCACTCCGAGCTGCAGGGCTCACGTTAGGGAGTAGAAATGATATGACCCACTCTGGGGGTGTGTGATACAATATCATATTAGATAGCTCCTCGAGTCATTAATGTGAAACTGTATTTCTCTACCGTACGATAGCTGCCAGACACAGTGGTGTAAAACTTCAGCAAAGCCATTTAAAAATGTTTACCAAGGTGTGTACAGGGTTAGGGCTGCAGGTGCCACTGATGGGGGGTATCCTACCATGTACTGTATAAGACTAATTAGATGTTTTTTTCTGGTTGGAGACTTTTGAAGGATTTGAAAAAGTAATTATTTGTTGAGGTGACCTTCATTTTCTTGTTAGAATAAAGAATACTAATACAGTACTCTGGCAAAGGGAATATTTTTGAGAAATAAAAGACTTCAGAGAACTTGTCATATCTTGAGGTTATATTAAAAACTGAGATTCAACCTTTTCAGTTTTTTAAACATGGATATGTTTGTTTGAGTATGACTATTTTGTGTAATTAAAAGAACTGAACAGTAAAGTTTTTGTGTGTATGTGACATTAAGCATAAACCTAAACATCTCAGAGATAATTAAGTTTTTTTGTTAAACATGCAGAATAAACTATTTGCTTTTTAATGAGTTTTGTGTCCCCTTTTCTGTTTTCAAGTCTAAATAATAACTGAGGTGGTTATTATTAGAGAGTGCTGTAATTGTCTGAGTGCATTAAAATTTTAAATTCTGGTGTTTCTTTGCAGTTGTTGAGGGTCTGAATGTCCTTATAGCTCTGCAAACGTTCCCACTGTGACCTTTGTAGGTCGTTTATTCTAACCTCATTAGTCAAACGCTAGCAAGACACAAAACTGACACTTTGCTTTGATTAGAAGACTGTACGTACAAATAATTTGGTGTCAGTTGTTTTTCCACGAAATTAAACTCAGCAGTTATAGTGGCCTTGTTAATGTATGATGGAAATGAACTCAGAATATAAGTTTTTTTTGTCTTATGTATGTTTGAATCCACAACACTGACTTCTCCAGGAATTGAATATGACACCTAGTGTTTTTCTTTACCTGTCCAATCCAGTAGCACTGAGCTGAAATTTCAGACAATATACTGTATGTGTGTGTCCATATCTATCAGGTTGCTACCGCAGACCCCTGCACTACAAACTATGATCACACACAGAAACTGATACACAGGCTTCACAATCCTCGCTTTTAATTTCCTGTCGACATTAATATCCGTTTGTAGATGAACACACACACACACACACACACACCATTGTTATCATTTATCATGGAGACTTTACATTAAATGTATGTACATTTTCTGGAAACCCTCCCCCTAAATAAAATTCAATTATTGACTTTGTTACATGATGAAGGTGACACCATTTCATTCTCTATTTGTTTTTTTTTGTTTTTTACACATCACCGAAAGACACACCGTAAAGACTGATCTCTAAGGCAGTAGTTAATCAGCTAATCAGAATTCCCACTATAGTTAACATCTGAGATATACTTAGAAAAGCTTACTTAAAAACATCAGTATATTTATATTGACTGTCTCATAGTTTTGTTTTCACCGTTCATCTTTTGCTATTTGCATTAGATCTTCTTTCCTTATACTGGTATTTAACTGTATATAACTATGCATTTTTATAATGACTAAATAAATACAGGCCTATGTATGACCCTCTTTAGGTCGGATTACTGAGCCATTTTGAACATTTTCATGGAGATACCATCAGAGCTACCATTCAATAATAATAAAAAATATGCATGTTTTCTAGTGAACTAATGTGCGCGATTAACTCCAAGGTCCTTCTGTGGATTGCTGATGATATCACTGATTATAATTTGGCTCCAGGTGTGAGATGCATGTATATAAGGCAGTCTGCTACTGAATGTGCCTTGAAAAGGACCAAATGTGGTCAAAATGTCAGTTAGATATTGAAATGACTGGATCTCAGGGTGCAGTCACTTTCATTTTTATTCAGGTCATTACTATGACCATCAACTAGATTTTGGTGTGCACTCATTGTGATGCTCCAAGTTTACCAGTGAATTGCACCCATACTACCTGGAAGTCATTCAACAGTCCACCTGGGCTTTGCTCTAAACATTCAGCCAGAAAAAAGAGAAATAGCAACATCATTTGTGCGATAGTCAAATAGCATAATATCCCCAGTTACAATACAGTATGTGTCATGATCAGTTGCTGACTTCCTTTTCTGGACTTTTATTTTGTTAAGAATTCCTGCCACGCCGTAACCACTTGGCTGCAGGGCACCCCACATAAACCCCTTTGGGGTTTGCAATGTCAGCATCTCTGCTCCGACCGCTGACAGCTCTGTCGCACGGCCTCTCTCTGTTTCCCCTGCTTCCTGTCTGCCTCTCTGCAACTGACTGATTAATAAAGGCTTTAAAAAGACGTCCTGCCGTATGTTATTTTACCTGCCTACATGTTACGTTACTCATTATAACCTGATTGATTTCACCTGTGGTTTATTGTCTGATGGCTATTTAATCTGCCTTGTTTCTTCACCTAATTACCAGATGGTCTCTCGCTGTGTATGGAACTGCTCCGGCCTCACCTGTACCTTCATGCCTGCCTGTATGTTGCCTTATCCATTTTCCTCATCTGATACTCCATTTGAATCTGTTCCTGAGTTTTTGTAAGGTTGGTTTCTGCACTACTGAGTGTATTTTTGTATGGCCTATTGTTAAGGATTTTTTTGACACTGAACTGAGTTGATTTGCTAATGTGTGCACAGAAGATTTTGTGTGTTTTCCTTTGCCACCTGTTTTTTGAATTCCCCCTACACCTAATGAGTGAACATTGTCGCCTGAAAGAAGTCCGTCATGTTATTATAATACCTATCTGGTTCTGTACTCAATATCTGTGGGACCACACCTAAGTGCCCTGTTTCTTACCATGCTTACCTAGTCTGCCATAATATGCAGCGCTGTCATTCTCTTCAGTCTACTCAGCTGCTTCCTTCATTCAGCCTTTATTGTAAGTGGCTTACATACACTTTTCTTGTCTATACACATCTGTATATATTTGTTTAAGTGCTGATCTCTCTGGCCTGGTTCAAAATACTATGTATACCTGCCCTGCTACTCACTTCTGGAGTCTGCCATCTTCTGGTTGTGCAGTATTTTCATTCAGCTCTGCAGTCCACTCTGGGGTCCTGAATAAATGCTCTCAGCCCTTAGCTTGTCTCTCACCTACATGGGTCATTATTGACTGCCCCCACCCCCTGCCACTTGGACGGTCCACTGCTTCTCTGTAGTCCACCCTCAGATTCCACCATGTACCTGTAAAGGGAAAAGCTATCATAAGTGAAGACACAGTCCTCCACTGCTACTGAATCAAGATCACTTGCTGTGTTGCATTCTGCTCCACCACCCCAAGCCTACAGGGTGATTTTGTCCCACTAATATCACCCCAGTAAACATACTTAACTTTTGCAACCGAAATAACCTTGGAAATCAACTGGACTTGGATATCTAGATCGAAGACGTTTCACCTCTCATCCAAGAGGCTTCATCATCAAATATCTCCGACTCAACACCAGTCAGTCAGAACTGATGAAGCCTCTTGGATGAGAGGTGAAACGTCTTCGATCTAGATATCCAAGTCCAGTTGATTTCCAAGGTTATTTCGGTTGCGGTTTACTATGACCTGGATGACTGAGAATCTGCACAGATATATAGTACTTAACCTTTATTCAGTCTGTGTGCTGTGCATTTGGGTCCTGTGTTATCTGGTATGTTTTTTCCAGCTTCTCCATAAATATCTGACAAATGAGAAACATCAGTGAACTAGAGGACATTTTCCTCTAGTTCTTGATGTTCTATTTTTTCCTATTTAGAATGGATAAAATCTTATTTAATCCTAGAGCTACGCACAGCGCACTGACTCGCTCAGCTGCTCCTTGCCCCACTGTCTCTCTGTCTCATGCACACACTGACAATGGACAGTCTGTGAACAGCTCCTCTTAATGTCTGTATTCTTAACACAATGCTGTCAATCGTGGAGGTCTAGCTCTAGTGCAAGAAAGGGCAGGAATGTAGGTAGATGCAGGAGAGGAGGTGGACAGCAGCCAAGATGGTGCTGTGGGAGATCCAGCTAGTGCAGAAGCGACAGGTTAGGTGAACAGTACAACGGCAAGCACAGAGGCACCACAGCTTTACTGTTCAGATATTTACTGAATTAAAATTTTGAAAGTGTGTGTGCGTGTGTGCAAATAAGTCTTTATTTACTACATCAGCATTCTGCCAGTTTACTTAAAATGCTGAGATACTAAAACAGGAGCCTATTTGAAAAGGATAACATTAAGTCACATTTAAAGTTACCTCTCATATTTTGACTTAATACCTCCATATTGACTTTCCATGATGAATTATATCTTTTGTTTAACTTTTTTTTTAAATCAGAGATGGACTGTAGTCTATTCAAATCAAATTATACAATAGGCAGTATAGCCTCTATAGAACTTGTTTACATTACTTTTTTATGTGCATACCAACAGAAGTAGAGCATATACTGATGAATCCAGGAATGAATCTCCCAGCTGCAAGTGAAGTGTTAAGGTTCCTGGTGTGACCACAGAGGGCAGGAGAGTTCAGCTAATCTATCCGCTCTGCTCTGCTTCCTCCGGGGTCTTGCTCTAAGTCCACTCCGCCGTCCTCCGCTCCGGCTCCTGGTTTTACCTCCAGCCTCTTTAGATCAATGGATCCATACACTACCTAGGTCTCTCTACCTTCTCCCCCTTTCCAGCTGTATACACCGTGAGAGAGGGAGAGAGAGAGAGTGAGAGAGAGAGAGAGTGTCGATTCTTTCCCTCCTCCCCCTCCTCTTCCAACCCTCTCCATCCGTCCTCTCAGACAGACGGAGCAGACCTCCGGGAAGGCAACGTGGATTTGAACCATCCTTGCATCTATGTGAATGGGAACCATCCGCACCGTGCAGGAGTGATGGAGATTCTGCCTTCATAGTTACTGGAACTTATTTCTCATCTTTACAAGGTGGACACTAACCGCGTGCGTCTGTTTTGGATTTTGCTTTTCCTTTTTTTTCTTTCTGGGACCCAAGCCCGACCGGGGATCTGGGTTCTTTTTGGGGAGAGGAGAGGTTATTTTACCCCTCTCCCTCCGCACCGTCCTCCAGACTCGTCACCCCGTAGGCTTTTTACTTCATTTTTATTTGACAGTTGGATTCTGTGTAGGTTTTAAAAAATCTGACACCAGCAGGATTTGCGGGTGCCTGTCCCAGTGGTTTGTCGGGCTTATCGGGACTGGAGCAGGACAGCATGGAGCTGGTACTGGTTGGATGTACTGGTGATGTTTGGGAGGTTCTGGTGCTGAGGAGGAGAACGGGAGGACCCTACCTGCTGCTGCTCTGCCTGCTGCTGGCTGCCTACTCCACAGCCCACGGTGAGTGGAAAAAATGCGTGGTTTCTGGCTCCATCCCGCAGTGTGTGCGTGAGCGTGTGTGCGTGCAGATTCTGCCTCTGTGTGTGTGCAGTTGCTGGTCAGATTGCCGCAGATCAGACGAGAATTGACACATTTGTTGCTTCTCCCTGTTGTCTGCTGGTCTCTAACCCGGGAGGATTCGGGTATGACCGGTTTAACTGGGGTTTACTGGGCTTTGCTGTGTGCGGTCATGCACGCTGCAGGGTTTGACCGGCTACTGCTGGGCTTGACTGGGTTTACATGGATTTCACCGGGCTCCAGCAGCTCTGGTCATACTGAGCAGGCTTTACTGAATTTTACTCTGCTGCCGTTTCACCTCTAATATCACCTAAAATAATAAATTCACTGGGACTGATCAGGCTGCTGGTCTGACTGGTTTATTCCTTGTTCTATGGGCTTTGTGTTTTTGGTTTCACCTGATGTCTGATAGTCTGCATGTTTTTTCAGGGTTCAAAATGATTTTGCTGGACTTCAGCAGTCTGTGTGTTCAAGTGTAAGGCCAGGTTTTAGTGATTTTTACTGGATTTCATCTTCACTTTCACTGGTACTGTTTAAGTTTGGCCTGCTGGGTCAAACTGTGTTTAAACCACATTGCTTGTCTTTACTGGGTTTCACCATATTTTTGAGTCTCATCATATGTTAGACTGCTGCATTAGTGAGCTTTTAGTAAATCTCCCCAGAGCTTGTTGTTATTTCCCTGTGAGCTGAGGGGCTCACTTTCTGCTGCTAGATTTGACTGTGTTGTTGTATTTTACTGGGCCTCTGATGTTTTGAGCAGACATTAGCAAATCTTTCAGGATTTTCTGCTGTCAGAACTATAAGGCTTGGTGGGTCTGACTGGCTTTGGGTTTACAGGACTTTACAGAGTTTTGGGTTTTCACTGTTTTTGATGGGGTTTTAGGTTCCATCGCCTGTGACCATGTGTTACTGTTGGTTTGAGAGGAATACAGAGAACCATACTGGATTTATGCAGCTGTTTTACCCTCAGTTTCTCAAATTAGTGGTTTATGGTCAGGTTCAGGCTGCTGAATTATATCATAAGAGTACTTTAGTAATCCCAAAGTGAAGCTGCAATGCTACAGCTGTCAAGTTACATACAAATAAAAGATAAGAACAGTGTACAATAAAAACATGTATATAAACATTGACAAACAACAACTCTAATATGTATTATATGATAAAATTTTACAGCATAATTAACCATTAATATGACCAGGCTTTGGTGGGTTTAGTGCTTTTAGAGGTTTAACTGGGGTTATGCTGGGATTTGTCAGGATTTTACTGGATTTGACTTTGTAGTTGCTGTTTTTGTTTGCTTACAATTCTTTCATTTATTCCAATTAAAATATTGTTGTTGTAAATATATCTAACACTCATGAACCAGTTCATCTGTACTGATATCCCAAAGCATCATTTAAGAATCATTTCATGGTTTGCTTCATGATTTTGATTATTGAACAAACAGCTAGAGTTGTTGGACTGATTCTCCCTCTCCCTTTGTGTCTCCTGCTGTCAATAAATTATGTCCAAACACTTTAATTAAGCTAATTAGGCTAGCTTGGCTGAAAAATCCTCTGAATATTTTACTCAGGCCAAGCATTTTTCTGCGTGGATGCTACACCCACACAACAACCTGCCACACACACACACACACACACACAAGGGGATTCTTCTCTTTTTCATAGGTCTGTTCAGGTGTTCTCTCTGTTAAAACCAGACAACAATCTGCACATTTTCATTCCAGCTGATCGTCCCAGCAGGTTATTTGTCTGCGTTTGTCTACCCTACCTGAAGGAGAGTTTATTAGTGGGTTGAGTTTTTGACTGGAATGAAAACCTGTGGGCTGTTGGTTCACCGTGGCACATGATTGCCTTGACACCCCTGCCTATATACCTGGTCACACCACCATTCAAAACTACAGATCCTGTGGTGAAATCAACCGATTCAAAAGAAGTCGAATCAATTAGTTGCTTAGCTAAGCCTGTGGGTGTTGAGTTTCTAAAGGGCTTTTTTTTACTGGCTCTGATCATTTTGTACAGTATATTATTGTAAAGAAAAATGTGCTTTTTTGCAGCACTCAGAGTGTGAAGTGATTAAATTTGTTTTAACATTCTAGTCCAGCTCAGTCCAGAATGTCTGCTGGTGAAGGGGGTGCAAATGAGTTTCAACAGTTTTTCCAAATGTCAGTTTGAAGCATGAAAAACAGCTTATTTTTGGAATTAGTTTCTATGACTACATGGGTCCTCCAGACTTGTACTGCTGTTCATTTCAACTATAGCTGTTTTCTTAATTGGTGCAGCATCATGATGCCTGTGTCAGTGTTCTCGCCCTGTTTGCATCTGGACAGTAACTTGCAAACTTTGACTTGAGGTAGATTTTTTTTTCTCTGAATGTTACGCATAAACCTTGCTGCAATCTTCTCTCTGCTGCAACTATTATTTTGCCCGCAGTTACAGAAACAATGTTATAAACAGCCATTATTTTCTTGGCTGCACACTGGAGAACCTTTTGCAGCCCAGAGATCAATCAGATTAACAGAATATGTTTCACATCCTTCATCGCTGAAAAGTAATAGGGAAAAAAAAGTATCAGTCAGTTCAGAGGTGTTCAAAAAGTCAGAAAGGCTCTAGTCCCTCTTTTACCTTCTGTCCAGATGAAGATTGACGGAGTGTTAGAGGAAGTGAAACAGAGGTGAATATATCAATGTTGTTTTTGTTTTGGCCATCTTATTTAACATTAAGTTTGACATCAAGCTGGTGAACCAAGCTGGTGAACCTAACAGAGCAGAGAGTTCTTCTGCAACACAGCCTTCACATTTAAAACTGTCACACGTTATAGAAAATGAGCAACCTCTCTGACTTTTTCTTTCACAAGTGGTCCAGAGGATAATGGAAATTATTTTGAACTGGGGCTGATAAAGTCTGAATTAAATGTACGGTCTGTGGTTGTAATATAGAGAGGGTGCTCCTGAAAAAGAGAGAATAAATAAAGGTTAAAAAAGTTAGTATATGACAGGTTGTACAAGGTTTACAAAGGTAACATAGGATAGGTAGATGTAGGATATTTTTGTAATTTATGTATCTTCCTGTTTGCAGTGCTCTCTTGATTGGGCTTGTTTCCTGTTTAGAGTGATAGGAAGCAGCACTACTTCGTGTTATCAGTCTCACCTGTACTATGGCACGAGGTGACCACACTGAAGAAGGCAGTCATGCCGAAACATCTGTTTTCTCTCAGCCTTGTGATTTTTAAAAACTAAAGGACTCGGACTCAATATCTCCAGCCTCCCCTGGGATCTGGTCAAAGCTCTGCGGGAGGCGGGAGTTGAAGATCTCTCTGACAGGGGATTCTGCTAAACGTTCCCAACAGACCCTCACAATAGGTTTGGGTCTGCCGAATCTGTCCAGCTTCCTCCCCCGCCATCAGATCCAGCTCACCACCAGGTGGTGATCAGTTGACAGCTCCGCCCCTCTCTTCACCCGAGTGTCCAAGATATATGGCCGGAGGTCAGATGAAACAACCACAAAGTCGATCATCGACCTCCGGCCTAGGGTGTCCTGGTGCCATGTGCACTAATGGACACCCTTATGCTTGAACATGGTGTTCGTTGTGGACACACTGTGGCTAGCACAGAAGTGCAATAACAAAACAACCATCGGGGTC